GACTTCCTCTTCTCCACATTAAAGATGGGGAAGCTATGCCAACTCCTTCTAGCATTTCTGCCTCAAATCACAGAGGATGAATCTGGAACTGTTGTTAAGCATTAGGATTTAGCTGACAAACCAAGATTCTGCAGATAATGCCTTTGATAGATCCACATCACGTTCTTTGAGAGGATCATCCCATCCCTGTCAGGTGTTTCCTTTTAGACCTGACAAAGTAGTCTCTTCCACCTGTAGAGTTTTGTTTAAATTCACAACTGATTTAGGAAAAAGGACATGGCACCATCCCTTAACAATCCCCATGCTTTTGCAAAAAAAAAAAACAAACCCAAAAACAAAAAACCCTCAACTCATTCTTTTTCTACTCTCCTCCAAACACGTTTCTGTATGACAATATTAGTTCAATGCAACAAGAAAACATAGAGTATTATAATAGAAAACATAGAGTATTCACAAATGACTGATGAACAGCTCCAGAGCTGTCAGTCACAATGATTTAACCAATTTAACTCCCATTTAAATCCGTGTAAATCTTACCATTATTTCCCTGTCATTTTATATGCCCCTCCTAAAAAAACTCATGTCGAACAGATCTAGAAGCCAGAGTCAGTAACACTACTTGCTACCATAAAAATTACCAATGTGACCAGGATTCCCAGCAACAGGTCACTAATATACAAAATATTACTGCTTACTGTAATACAAATATTAAGTGGAAATACACTTGCAGTGATATATTCGGAACCTTTTTTGTGCCTCCACTTGGGCCCTCTGCATTTAATACTGCGGTTATAACCTGTGCCATTCACCTCTAGATGTTACAAAATAAATAGAGAAAACTTTATTAATACAATTTGTTGAAGCTTTTGTTTTCCCTTTCCATTCAAATCTATTACCACAGTAAATATGTATTTTGAATACATAGAGAATACTGAATCGGGTCCTTGATTAGAGTTTGATTTATACCACAAAGACCACAAGATTCAGAGGTTGCCAAGGCAACACCACTTCAACCCCCTTATATTTCTGCTTTGATATGAAGCTTCTCATTACATAAATGTATCACAACACCAGCCAGCATGACAGGCTATTTTACAAGTGTCTTCAGTTAGCAGACATCTATATTCTTCTGTTAGGTGGGGGGAAAGGTAGGAACAAGGCTGCCCTTTACTAAGTGGGAGAAAGCAACAAAAACAACATTCCAAGCTATATGGGCTTTATTATGAAAGTGTATCCTCAGCTTTTTAATATTGCCAATAAAGTTTGTAATATTTGTCCAAAAATCCACAAAAGGACAGAAAGCAAAACAAAAAAAAACCCCAAGAAATGAAGTCCAAAACTATGGTGCTTGAATTTTGAGTAATTGCAACTAATTACAGTATACAAATCTTTACTGAACCACTGGAATTCAGATAGTCCATCACACGTTGTTTAGAACTATGGCCTAGGCAAAATCTAATAAAGAATAATAGAGGGAACAGAAATATACTGAAGTTTTTTATACCACAGCTTTGAGGACTTTGGTACTTGGCAGTAAGTACCACCATCCCTCTTTACTGTACAGTATCCATTACGCGGCAGCCTACAGTTCATGTTCCAGAGCCTCTTAGCACAGCCAGGTTCCATAGAAGAGGGCTCTTTTAAAGACAGTTACTTCTGTTTCTCCTTCTGAGTCCTCCAGACCACACAGAGACTGAGCAAACTGCCAGCTGATCTAGAACACAAGGAATAACTGGATGGAACGGTTAGCAGCAGAATGGCAACAGTTCCAGATGTATCCCTGCAAATACTTCCTCATGCCCCAGCAAAACCTGTGCTTCCTGGAGGCTTTTCAGAGATAGTATTATCAATAATCAGCTACTTCTGCATCATCTGGAGACATTCCAGTATGAGTTGAATTTTGGAACCTTTGAATTTTTAAGCAGAACGTTGCAAATAAGAACAGGCATAGATATCAACAGTTATGGATAAGATATGAACATTTGAATGGCATAGGCTTAAAACTTTGATTTCTCTCTTCACTTCCACTTCTGGCTTATAATTTCCAATCATGCTTATATCACTGTGCATAAGTGGCACACTGATTGTGATTAGCAGTAAACAAAGCCAATCTTGCAGTTTCCTGAAAGGGAGAGTTGAAAAAGCACCACTAGGGGGCACATCCAACTTTAGCAAACTGATTCCAAGGCTAGCTCCTTATGTCGTTCCAGGTCAGCAGCAGCAGCTCTAAGTTTGCAATGACAAAACAACCACACTTACAAGTATTTCTAGTTGAATTGAACAGTAACTCCCCAGTTACAAGAATTTCTGTTCCTTTGGTTTCTATAAAAAGAAATGCCTTTTAAGAAAAATGACATTGTATGCCACCTCGCATCACAAGATTTATGCCATCTGAATTATACTGTGTACTGCAAAACATTCATGGCATGGACTATCCTGGAGTATGCACCTGCATCCAGTGCCTTGATGTACTGTAAAAAAGGACCAGCTTCCCCATACACCTAATTCCAGCTGCAACTCTAAGAGATGCAAATACTGCAAGACCACAGCTGTACTCAGAATTCCCTATCTCACTGATTAACAGGGTGATATACCATTTGTTCTGGTCTTCACACTATGTTGTTTCTCATTCTCTGAAGTGTAGTGATGACTCCTGACCAGTCAGTGGCTACATCGTGGCTTTCAGCATACTCTTTTCCATCACCTTTCATTTTAAATGATAGAGATTCTGAAAACAGTAGGTTATGCACCCACAGCCCACCCAAGATCCCAACACTCAAGGGACAGAAAAAGAAAAAAAAACTAAGAAAAAAAGAAACTTCGGATAGACAGTTCATGTAGGACAGCTAGAAGACTGACATCAGAATCAAGTCTCATGCTGTGATGCAGTCCACCCTGACATTCCCACATACGGTAGGCTGTGAAAGCTGGAGAAAAGCCAGCACAGCAGAAAACCTTCAGGGTTATTTTGCATAGGACTATGCAAATTCTTCATGAATCTGAAAACTCGAGATCAGGGTTATTGGCTTATCAACTCTCACCAGTACTAAAACATACATAGCTAACCTTAGATGACATCTTCTTTCAAAAAAAATACTGCTGAACAAGGAGTTGAATGAAATCAATCACTTGCTCAAGGGATTTCTAAGACATGCATTTTCTTAATTATTGTCAGATATGCAGGTGAACAAAAAGATTAATTTCTGAATGAACAGGATAACTGATGTTTAAACATTACGTGGAAAGACAGATTGTAAACTAAAGCATCCTAATGCTTAGGTTTGTGAAATAATAGGAAAATGCAGGATGCACTCGCAATCAAGGAACTGCATGCATCCTCATCCACCTGCTGATGGCATGGGGCAAAACTATCTCCAGACTACATCTTCCCATCACTTATATTTGGCTAGTAAAGGATGTGTTCCTTCTTCCTCAACCATGTACTCGTACTGATTAATGCAATACAAAGAATGGAGTGTGGTGTTTACACCAGCAACCTTAGGTCACAGAACAAACTGACATTAGCAAAAATAGTCAAGTCAGCTTTATTTTGTGTGAGACTCGGTGCTGCCATCTCACCTGCTCGCTGATATGCATTATGACCCATGTTATGGTTTTGGTTTTCTTAATTCTTCATCAGAGGCACTAAGAATCAAAATGTCACCTTGCCAATGAAAGGCATTGTTGAGACCTGCAGTAGTGCTCAGTTCTCAGGAGAAACTTAATACAAGCTCTATCTCACAAAACACCTGCCAGGAATCCGCATTTCTTGGCTCAATCTATATCATCACTATTCCTCACACTGAACGGGAGCACCATTGTGCACCACAGCAAAGAACCAGGAATTAAAAAAGCCACTCACTCACACAAGATGTATGCGCTCAAAGCCATTCATTGTGCTGTATCCATTCCCTCCTCAGTCCTCTCCCTGGCATATATAAATCAAAGGTGGCAGCATTACTTCTATGCCTTCCTCTCTTTTCAAAACCTTACTTCCGCACAATTACAGAAGCTGATATACAGTTACATATATGTATATGTGCACCTTTCAACCTAACAAGACTGGATGGATGGATCACAGTCTATCCATGCTTTGTGAAAACATGGTAAAAGCACACCCTAGCTATACATGACTTTGTAAAGCAATGGGTAAATATACTTCACAACACAACAAGGACATTTAAGGAAGACCTCATACCAGAAAGACCACAGCATCCAACATATATTGAAAGCAATTCCTGAGAAAGGAAAGCTGCTGAAAGAAAAGCCAACTTTATAAGTATGCATGTTTTGTCTGTTTATACATTATCAGTGCTATCATTTTAAATTTCTACTAAGAAATTCGAGGGAAAAAAAAAAAAGCAGAACACTTAATGAACTTAATTCCTCACAGAAGAGATTATTCACTGATACATAATACTAGTGTCTATTAGTTTCTTAATCAGGTCTTAACAACTGATTCCCAGCTATTCACTCCAAAATTTCACTGCTGCTTTTTTCAGAACATTTACAAATTTATACCCAAGACTTACTGAAAATACTCTCCAGTAAAGTTTTTTACCATTGTATTTCTACTTCCATTTTTGGATTGTTCAACATCAGAAACTTACTCTTAAGCACTTTCTCACCTACATTTTCTATGGTAATGCGAGACAAGTTCCAAGGACAATGTTCAGTGAAATAGGTAACGAATACCCTGTCTAGACAGGAGACACAGACAAGACTGTTCATCTTCTTTCAGTTCTGTCATCTGTTTACAACTTTGATAGTAAGCTGAATAATTGCAAATGTCTGCATTTTTTTTTTTTTTACATTAAAAAAATATAAATTTGCTCTGTCTAAATAAGGAACAAAATTTTAAAAGCTGCTAGTATCTGTTTAACAGTTCACTATTCTACAGTCAGTTAAATGCCAGGAAAAGCCAGGGGCTATTTCACATTCTTACACAGCACATAAATACATCAGTAAGCCATAGATAACACTGTTCATGTGTCACTCACCCGGTGTAGCTTCTGCCAAAATTCAGGTCCATCCTCCATTTTTCTTAAGCTTGGTGGAATGTACCAAAAACAAACATTTGCGTACTCCGGCTAAATAAGAGAACAAGTGATTGCTTATAAAATACAGACAACAGGACAGGAAAACATATTACAGTTCATCAAGTTCTGCCTTATTTGAAGATTACACTTTGAGTCCTCCTTCTCCAATTTTATCTTTTGTTTCCCCTTTCTGAAAAAAGAACGTTCGTAACATTGTCCACTTCTTTCCCTACTGCCAGAAAATTGAATTCTACTGGGATTCCTTCAATTCTTAAGACATATCTACTTAATTTTACCTTGCTAGAAATTTTCACTGAGAAAAAAAAAAAGTGTAAGAGAGGCATAAGAAGCTAACACATTGATTTCAAAATTCTGTTTTTCTCTTTAAAGTTACTGCCTTCTTTTTTTAAAGTGTCATTTTCAGAATACAGATTTCATATGATGCATTTTATACACAACACACAAGCTCATTATTTTTGGCACTGCTTAGCATTTGCACACCCAGTCATTTTTCTACTCAACCATGCCAATTCTCTCTTAGATCATGACATGTAGCACTATGTAGTTATTGAGTTAATGCTGGTCTTCTCAGATCCCGCTGTTTTTGTGTTTTTTTTCTTAATGAATCTCAGGATGCTTTATTTGATACACGCCATGTACTGTAAAGATCTTGTCCAATGTCTAAGCAAGTCTTTTGAGCAAAGACTCCACATCTCTGCTTCCCTCCTGCACAATGTTTCATTTAAACTCAGTGGAGAGTAAACTGCAAGCCTCCTGAAGAATGGATGTTCATCATACATTATAAAAGAAAGCATTTTGTTTTATGAGGTTTCCATTTTATCTGTAATTGAAAAAAGGCTCCCAGCAGACCATTCCAGAATCTGACTAAATTTCATACTAATTTGGAACAAATTTTATTCTATTTTTTACCTGTACAGATAGCAATAGCATGAGTAGATATGTGTTCCAATCCTATCCAATGCTACCACAGCAACACTCAGTTAATCTTGACCTATATCATTTGCAATGCAGTATTTAACTAGGTTCTAAATCACAACTTGGATTATGAACTAACACTCCCTCTCCCTTCCACACACCATCCTCATTAGTATGGTTGAATGAAAAAAAAAAAAAAAAAAGTTAAAAGGAAGCCTGATAGATGGATCACACCACTGCTTCATCCCACTGAATGCAGCTGCTCTTACAACCAAGGCAGACCCTGAATGAGGAGAGCCCACCAGCTGAGATGTGCTCTTTCATGAAAGGGCACTGGGAACTGCTCATACCATTTTCCGCCTCGCTTCAAAGAATGCATTAAATACAATTTAATCATCAAGGAGAATATCGTTGTCAGCAGGAATAGAACTGCAAACCTGCCACCTGCTGTCCCTGAATGAAAAAAAGCTCAGCACTTGAAGTCTCATTTCTTCCCCCAAAGTGCCTGTACTAAGTACACACAAACACAGACCCTAAAGAGGCAGTGATTTCCTCATGAACACAAATATGAGCTGACTGTTGGAGGGTTTATTCTAAAACTGTTTAAAATCAGATGACAGCATGAAGCAGATGGCATATATTACCACGTTGCCACTGCCTATATTGCCTCCTTGATTATCTCTGTTTCCTTTCACATATCAGATACTTCATCCCTCTCTGAAAATACCGTTCATCCAAGAAAATCCCAACTACCCCCAGCTATGCTTCACTATTGCTTGTCATCTTGTCACAGTTCTCATCCAAGCAGGTAAGCAGTTGTACCACCGAGGAGTTCAAGATGACACATGCACGTGTGGTATTTCCAGGCTGCAGAGCAGTTCTCATTACAAGACTTTCTCTGCGTGCACCAGAGGATCATCTTCCCAAGATTCTTGTCTGAAGTCCAATTTCCTTTCATAAACGGCTCACTTGACTTGCCCTGACTTTCCTTAAACTCTCACTGCTTGTCCTCTTATGCTCCTGAAAACTTTTTAACCCTTGCTCAACCTCCTTCTCATAGCCCATAACATAGCACTCTCTCCAATCTCATTCTCCATCCAGGTGTTCTATTCCCAAAGGAACTAAACAGCAGCCTCTGCTCTCCCAACACCTTTCACATCTACAGTAGATCTAGCCTTATTGCTAATCCCTACAATAATGGGGAAGGGAGAGTTTTTTTAATGAATGTACCACTTAAGTAAACCAATCAAGTGCTGTTTCCCAGCATTCTTGACTGCATATACAGTTTCCCAGTGTGAGAATCAAGTGTTGTTTCTGCATTAGAATTATATATTATTATTTTTATTTTATGATCTCCACTCTCATAGTTCTTTTTGGGAGTCCCACTACTTAACTTGGGGAAGATCTCTGATAAGTTTACATCACTTATCGTATAGACGAACCTTCCCAGGAACGCATACTCTGTATATAGGTGTATATATGTATATTTTGCCACATACACTGCAAGAATATCCTTCATGAGAACAAGCCATGACATGCCCGAGGAAGAGCCTGAAGAAACATTGGGAAGGCCTGACATCATCCCCCAGTGCTCTTTGTTTAACGATGATGACTTTAAAGAAAATCACCATATCAACAGGACAAGGAGAGCACCGAGACATCTTGGATGATTACTGACTGGCACCAGATAACAAATAAATTAACAAGTAAATAGCAAATGTAAATTCTTCTGATAAGATTGTGAACCTGGAGTACCCAGCCATTGGGGAAACAGGGGAGGGGGAGGCAAAGGGGAGAAAACAGGGTATAAAGGCTGTCATGTTGTGTCCATAGGTGCGCTCCTACTTGCAGGACGCCCGCCATTGCAATCGCGAATAAATTCTGCTTTTATCAGAGATACCGTCCTGACAAAAATTATTTGGATTATTTCCAACACCCAGTATGCACTTTCAAGTCAGCAGTTCTCAAAGTTAAAAGGAAGAACTTTAAGTTCTACAAGAAGTATAGTCTTAAATATATATTTCATATTAATTCTAGCCTAACCTAGAATGCTCATTGCATCAGCAAACGTAAACCAAATCTGCATCTTAACATTTGTTGCTTTCTGAATGTTCTCTCCCTATTCATGGTATTCACCCAGCAGCCTTTGAGATGCGTACACTTCCAACAAAGCAGATGTCAGGTCTTTTCAATGCCTTCTCCCCCTTCTCCATCCCAGATATTAATCTCAGTAAACAAATAGCTGGGGATAGGCTCAGAAATGGAAGTCTTTAACCCTGCTCATTCTCCCCTAAGCAAGACAATTATCAGATATTAAGCTGATGGGTTTAGCAATAATAAACAACTTTACACTAGTTTTTAGGAAGATGGTTGTAGAAACAGAATTAAGGGGGGAAAAAAAGAAAAAAAGGACTTAAATGATGAAAAGTCAAAGTATTCTGATTATTCTTCCAGTACACAATCCTATCTGCAAGTCTGGCAAGCACTACCTTTTTTACCAGACTCTTCACTTTCACAGAAAAGCACTCCAATTATACACCCTGAGGTAATACAGGCCCAGAAGCTATGATAATGGGCAGACTGATGGTAGGGAATACAGAACATATGTGTTCGAACACATCTGTGCATCACAGCTTATTGAATTACACACTTCAAATGTAAAGTTGCATTCGGCTAAAAAGAACAAAGCCAAACAATAGACAAGAAACCACAATAATACTACTTGAATTCCATTTTCACTTACCTCCAAAAGAAGCTGAAATCCTTCTCTTTTCTTAATTTCTTCCACAAGATATCTGTAATCAAAAACACAGGGGTTTAAACATAGAACAATGCAGTACATACAGGGAAGAAAAAAGGCCTTGAACACTTTTTTTTTACTCCTTTTCTTTCCCAAATCTCCTTGAAGAAATCACAGAGTTAAACCTCATTTCTACCTGCTGTGAAAATATAGTAACTATCAGCTCCTAGAAACAAATGAAGGATACAGCAAGCCAACGAGCACTTAGGAGAGGCCAAATTCTGTCCTCAGGCACAGATTTTCAGCGGACCACATGGCACAAATTGATCCTATTTACATCAGGCTGTGAATTTTTCTGATGCAAATTTCCATTTATATTTCCACCAACTCCTCAACCTCTTTTCCTCAAGTGCTGATGCTGCGCTGCTGTCTTATTTCCTGCTTACTTTTACATCCCTTGCATTACAACTATTGTCACCACTATCCTGCAGTTTTACCAAAAATTTAAGTTCCCATCAGTTTTTCTGCTACTGTCCTTGTTCCACATTTTATATAACAATGTGCACTTCCATTCAATGAGACTTCACAATAATCCCTGGACATCCTTTTCTAACAATGCACTAAAATAGATTTAAAAAAAGAAAGAGAATAAGAAGGCATTTAATAGAAAGGCCAATTTAAATTAAACATTTGGATCCAGACACCATCAATTTTTTAAAAACATGACCTCAACTTTGATGTTGGCAGATATCAGTCCAGAGTTTTGAGGCAAGGAGGACAGTTTGACATAGCTAGTGCTTCTTAGAATCACAGGAGTTGTAAGAAACCTCTGGTGAAGGGACCCTAAAGATCATTAAATTCTAACTCCTCTGCCCTGGGCACAGTTGCCAACCATGACATCAGGTTGCCCTGATCAACCCCCTCCTAAAGCACGTTGGCTTCTCCCATTACTGTCCCATGTGTTCCCCCTCCCCCAAATCTTTTCCAAGGAGAACTCCAAAGAAACTCCCTCAAGTTCAGACAGTATTGCTGTGTCAATATATTTTCATCTTCTATACAAAGGTGCTCTCTAACAGCAACGAAATGAAGACTATCAAGCTTCAGATTTTGTATAAGCCTGTTTTTCTGTTGCATTCATTCAGTATTTTCCTGCCTGCAGCTGCCTTGCTGGTCATCACAGAAATAATTCCTTTATTCACTACCAGAGGGGAAAAAAATACTGTCAGAATAACCCCCCTGGTCCTATTTACACCCCTGAAATCTGCCTTCACAGGGACACTGCCAGCACAGCTGTGTCTGCAAAGCCTGAGGTGCAGCAGAAACAGATTGGCTAGGGAGACAGTAAACAATACTCTAGATGGTACATTTTCCAAACTGAGCATAGGGATTTGCCACATTGTTTATCATTAACAAGTACTGTGCATATGACTCATTATTACCTCTTAGCACACATTCCCATAAAATGATTGCTGTGACAAAATGCCAATTCCCAGCAGCACAGCTCTATGACTTGCACTGAACTGTGCATGGCTGAGATGTTTCTCTTCATTGTAAGAAGCCTGGGATCTGGGTGTTCTCTGCCCTGACCATTCAGACCCTGCTGTTTATGTTCACACTACTCCTTAGGTTGGAAGTGAGGCATACTGAAAGGCAAGCATGAGGATAGCTCATGGCTCTAGTACTGACCCCTGGTGGACATCACTCATCTCTACCCAGACATTGAGCCACTGACCATTATTCTTTGGGTACCATCTTGCAATCGGTTCTTGCCCATTGAACAGTCCACTCATCAAATCCATATCTTTCCATTTTGGAGAGAAAGATGTTGTGTGATCATGTCAAAGGCCCCAGTTCCCACCTTCCAACCCATTTGGTTGAGGGATGTATAAAGAACATTTTGCTGTGACAAATAAGTTGTTTAGTACTTCTGTCTATCCTTGTCTGTTTTTACCAGCCTGTCTGTATTGCTCACTAAGGGATGGCATTCCTTCTTGGACATTCCTTTTCTGGTTGACATACCAGTAGAAGCCTTTCTACTGCGCATTTGTGTAGAGGCACTTCAGCTGGGTAACCAGCCTTGTCAATTTCTTGGTAGGTAACTCCTTTGAATTATTTCCCTTGAGTCTAGTCTTGTCTTCTTCTATTGCCTCAGTTACACCTGACTCAATGTCATAAGACTGCAGTGTTGACAGCACACCTCAGGGCAGCAGGCTGAGAGCCTCCACTAGCACCCTGTCCCTCTAACCTAGTTATGTCATCCTATATCTTATCGTAGGCAAGCTTGCTATTACTTCCCTCCCCCTTTAAACCTAGTTTAAAGCTCTGCCAATGAGCCCTGCTGGTCTGAGTCTGCACAGAGTCTGTAATTCATCTGATGGCAGTGGAGCAATTTACTCTGCATCCTTCCATGGCTGACAGTGGAATTTTATTATCACATCACATTTGGAGAAAGTCAGAAGGGCTTGAATCTCAGTGAGGACTGGCATGCACAGAGAAGTGCAATTTGCTATGATTAAACCTTATGGAAAGTGAGGGGTGGGAATCTTCATTGAAAGCAGACATACGTCTGTTAGAAGTAGGTGTCATTAAAAGAAAAAAAAGGCAGAAAAACTGCAATATGCTGAAACAAAGTGCAGAGTTGGGTAGAGTTATATCTAATATATTAAGGTTATCTATTATATTGAAAACATGATTCACCTCTAAACCAACAAGAAATTAATGGAATAGCCAATAAGTAAAGTCTGATGCAACAGAAATACATGACTGCAATTACTTTAAAACCTTTGCTGTTCTAGCTATCCACAGAAAACAAATCTTGCTCTCAAGTTGTGCAGCCAACATATCAATTCCAGAATTAATCCAGGTCTGTGGTTCAAAAATACTGAAATTCTATCTTAGGAATAGCAAAGTAAAATCTACTGTAACAAATCAGGATAAAGACTGCACAGCTGTTGGGTAGTTAAGAAACCTGGCATCATGCCCAGTAAACCTGATGTCTCAGCTGCAAAGTGCTCATGTACATGCAAACTCAAGATAGCAATGCAGTTACTACAAAGAATATACTTCATCAGATAATGACTAAAAATTAATTTTCTTCTTAATGCCACAGAACAATAAGAAACAAAAAATCCCAGTCACTCCTTAGAATTGAACTCAGCTTAGAAGCCGAATCCTAACATTTAAAGAAAATATTGATCCAAGAGAAGTCATTAATCACTCTGCACTCAGTCAGATGACTTTGGCCAGTGACCTTCATAAGGCTGAATTCTACTACTGATAATGGAATGAATTACAGACTCTGTACAGACATAGATCAGTACAATGCTTCAAAACAAATACAAGGTGCAATCTAATCAGAAGACTTTAAGGACATATAATCAGTAAAATAATTAGTGGCTTTGAAGAAATCAGAGAGAATAAGGCCAGAGCTCAACCGGGCTTTTCTGGTTTTGATTCTCTCTTTACTCTTTCCTAATCCACTCTGGGTTTAAGCCATGAATGTTTCAACTTTTCCTTTAAGTGACTTTGTTAAAGTGACACTATTCCTCTAATTTTCAGTAAACATTAAGTTCTATTAAACTTGGTGGCTTATATTAAAAATAAAATGTCAATATGATATGGATGACTGCCTTTAAATACTAATGATTTGTATTACAGTAGTGCACTATAGGTATATACATATCGGTAGCCCAGGAGTGGGCAAAGATTTCAATACAGTTCATTCTGTGCACATTCTGAATAATCACAGTATTTTAAGTGAATTGTTTTTAATGGGCCGTTATTTCAATATTCTCTCTTCCATTAGAAGACAAAACAACTGGTGTACAGGAGTTTATTCCCAAGACATCACCATTTTAGAAACACCTTCCAGCAAGAATTTCCTGAATTTCACTTGTGAAATCCAGTTGTCAGACCAAAAAAGTAGTAAAATTGGAAAGAAAAAAAAATAAACACTAACTAACCGCCATAAAAGAAAGACATTGCAGCTCCTAACTGAACATACTATAAGCATTAAGAATTTCAGTAAACCTATGAAAGTAAGCATGCATTACCTCAAAAAGAAAATCTGCCTCCGTTCTTCATGTAGTTCTACTACTTTCTAACATTAGCAGAATCCTTGTATGAATTTCCCCACAAACATCACTGGCATTCTGTGTTTTTTAGTCATGAGGAATTAAGTGAACAGAAGAATGGCAAATTTACTTCTTGCTAGACACGGCTCAGAGCCTGGCACACGGTGCTCCTTTTGCATTAATACCAGAACATACAGTTACGAGTTAGAAGGAGGAGGGAACACTGGTAAGCATTACCCTATACCCAGATCATATATCACAGACATTAAACAACATAGATCGATAGAGGAATTCACTGTTTTTTTAACCAACATCTATCCCTATTTTTACAAGGAATAATTACTATTAAATATTTTAGCAAATTTAATCACACTAATTAATATTGCTATTGCTACTAATTTATTCTTCATGTTATGCAGAAACAAAAGGGGGAAAAAATTAACAGTTTGGTCTGTTCTAAGACGCGTCAGCACTGTCAGCATTTCAGACAGTCAATGAAACAGACTATTCAAAAAACATGAGGAGGTACCTAGCCAAAGCCAGTGCTCTGTTCACTCTCTCCTCAAGGCCTGTGGTTCCCAATGCTTTCCACATGAGCCAGAATTTGAATGCATCTGGACGTCTGCTGCACTGAATGGACTTGTCACCAGTGTCATAGCTGACATCATAGAACTTGTCCTGCTGGAACAGGTATGCAGCCTTGGCAGAGTAACACTTCTTCAGGAGGCCCTATTGGAAACACAACAGAGGTTTAGATAACAAAGTATTAAAACTTGTTATTCTCACAAGCCAAATCCTTTTTCCCTATCTGAATCAACCGCTCTGTTAAAAAAAAAAGTGCATGTGCAAGACACCATTCACCACTGGTTATGTTTTAGAATGCTGGATTAGCCTGAACCCACTAAAGTCAGTGCTGACCACAAGAAAACATTGCAGGTTGAAGAGCAATTCTGCCACAAATCTCAAGAAATAGCTGATGTGGGTACCATAGAAACAGCTCCCCAAAGACATAAACATATTGGGAAGAAAGAGAAACAAAAGCCTGCATCCACTGCTATAGCCTGTAGGTCAAAAAAAGAAAAAAAAACAGCAGACTGAGGAGTTTCTTACACTTTCACAAATGGCTCAATATACTTCTTCTTTCCTTAAAGGCCAAAGAACTTTACACCTGGCACAGTTAGTTGTGTGAAGAATGTTTTAGCCCCAAACCAAAAGGTTTATCTTTTAGCAGTAGATGGTTTCTGCGTATCTAGCGTTTGTTATCTGACCGATTCAGGGGAAATACCAGTGACAGATGAGTGTAATGCCAATTTCTGTCTCCATTCACAGATCAGACAATTTGAAAATAGCAAGTACTTTAGTGTACCTTGATTAAGGATTACTAATGAAATTATTTTTAGTCAGCATTCTCCAACAGTCCCTCAAATTCTGAAAAGCTGTCTAGGCAGAGATGACCAGCAGAAAACAGACAAAAAAATGAGTACCGTGACACGTTCCAGCAAAGAACAAAGCCAAGAAAGCAAAGAGACTATTTTAGGTTTAAAGGTGAGGGGGAGGAAAAGAGACAAATGAGTAGCCATTGACTGAAGAAAGAAAAGTAGAGAGAAGAGCTAGCAGAAGGGAAGTTAAAAGGTCAGAGGTGACAATGGCCCTCCAATAAGCCCAGGAGACAGGCAGGGTCATAGATTTGTCAGGGATATTACATGTGGGTGAACAAGAACATCTCTAAAATAATACTAGAATAGAAATTCAGGTGAGGTTAAAAACATGGCTATAGCATCTGACTGAAATTCAGATGTCTATGTAAGAGAACTAGAAATCCTCCATACAACAGAGAACAATAAACAACAAGGGCACAACATGGCAAAAGATGCTACACTATTTAGTGAACACCATAATTCATTTTTTAATTGAGCACCACCCCTCAGTTTGAACCAACTGAACCAACTTCAGCCATTTCTCTGTTGTTGGCTGCAAGTCTGAATTCCAAATGGTGGTAGCTGACATCACTTTTAAAGGAGGAGGTAGTTCTTAATTTATTTGCAATATACTGCTGGTAACTTTAGTAGTAGTAAAAAAAAGAAAAAAGATTCAAGATAGAGAACTCCAAAAATACATGAAAATTGGAAATATTCGATTGGCACATACAGAATAGTCTCCTTCTGACCCTGCTTTTTCAATTCCCTCTGTCAATACTTTAAAAAAAATCATAAACAAAGGAAACCCTGCATGTCTATTTGAATAGCACAAAGGGAGAAAAACAACATGAAGAATTCTTCTCCACTGCTTCTGCAGGGATTCAACTTTCTGTTAGTGTCCTACTCTCCTGGTGCTTCCAAAACTGACACGACATGCTGGTGTGATGGTCTCTTTCTATCTGTTTATCTTACTACTAATAAAACACACTCAAGAAATCCTGCTGCTCTCTCCAGAGAGCAGCAGTTACAAACCTGGCATATCACTGGATCAGATAGGAGAAAAAACAAAAATTAATGTCTTGTGGAAGGGAAAGGGAGTATGCCAGACCAATGCAAGAAGCAAGGTGGAAGAGTGAGGGAAAAGCTACAGGATAGGGTACAGGACAGAAGGAAGCAAAAAAAAAAAAAAAAAATCCAAGACAAATTTCCTGCTCAAGAAAGCAGTTACTCTGTGATCAGTGTTGATGCAAAAGTAAAAAAGCTCAAACATGCTGTGCACATTAAATGTTATCTCTGTTTTCCCAGTCAAATGAAGAAAAAGTATAGAAGAACTGAAAGATAATGTATGCTTTCTAACTCAACGCTGCCATTTGCAACACAACCTCTATGACTGCCCACACAGCAACTGAGTTGCTACATCAGCTCAGAAGAATCTCAAACATTTCATTAGAACTGACTTATTTGCACGTTTGAGATTCTTCCTTCCTTCAGCATCTTTTATCTGTTTCTACCCTTTGATCAGAACTAATTATAGTGCTCTATCTTATACTGAGGCTGTTAAAAGTTTCAGAAAAAGGAAATGTACTTTCATAAAAGCCCTACTCCACAATAAGTTGCTAAGAGTTCTTGGTTTTGATCAAGTCTATAGACTGTTGTTATATGTTATAATTAACTGCAAATAAATAAGTAGTTATTGATATCAAAACCAATACATACCCAATCCAGTTCCTTACAGTACATAATTCAAAACATCCTTTTCTTCATTGAACATACTTATCTACTGCACATCTTCTGATATCTTTCCATTTCCATTGCCAGTAATAAGTCTGAATTTTATTAATACAACATGAATAGCTTTTTTCTCCCAAGACAAATCTCTTCCTGATTTCATTCATCCAAAGCAAGAAGGACAATCTTTTGAGTGGCGTATTTGAAAATTATCAAAAGCAGTGCACTACAAAAGGCCACCCCTGTAATTCACTTCAAGAGGTGAGAACGAGCCCTCAGCAGTATCAACCCCAAATAGAAATCGTGGGAAACAGAGTGCTTCCTGCAGCTGCTCCAGAAAAAAAAATAATAATAACAAAAAATCAGTGAATTAGATATTTTTGTGACACTGCTAATTATGTGGAAGAGATTACACTGTAGGTATGTCTAGCAGAATCAATAACACTCTGTGCTAAACTGGGACTTCGTTAGCTACATTCTTTTAGATTTTATTTTTAAGCAATAAGTGAAAATTCTGTTCATTCTCCAGAATGGATGACTAATTATCCAACCTAGATCTGAAGAGTCACAGAACTTCGGTATTTCTGATAAATATTAGTTATCTATATATATGATAATAATCATATTTATATAGATTACAGCAAGGATCCAAAGACCTGAAGGACTTTATTTGGAGTAACTGTGAGGTTTTAAGGGATTATTGCACAACCTCAGACTGATTCATAGCATTTTAAAAACATACAAGAACAAAGTACACTCGCTAAATTTTTCAGAGTACCAGTCCCTCTAGTTCCGTGTTTAAACAATCATTGCAATTCATACCAGAGCAATACAAGTCTGTTCTGAGGAAGTATATCTTGTCACAAAAGTGATGAAAGCTATTCAGGTTATGGCAGTGAAGAAGTGATAGCTGTGCATTTCTTGAGTGATTTAAGCACTGAGAAATTATTGTCATTGATCTGATCCCTTTCAGAGTACTAACCAATCTCTCTTTCCCCTTGGTGAAAGGGCTTCTTTCTTCTAATCAAGTCAAACACATATTTCTTTCTTTTTTTAATCTGTCTTCTTTGGAAACCACTCCAACTTTGCTTCATGAAGGCTGGAAGATTTCCTTACTCAACATTTCCCTGTAGATTGTTTTTAAAAAGTCTGTACAGGAATGTAAATACAGCATTTCATTCTAAAAATCTAGCTGCAATGTCTTCAGATTATCAGCACTGCTAAAGTACATAGCTTCACTGATGCTATGGGGCAAAAAAGAAAAAACATGATAGTGATAATAATAATCCAGTATAATAATACAACCAAAACAGTCACTATTGCTGCTGCTAGTAGGAAAACAGGATGTTACTACTCTTACCAGATCATTCTCTCTCAAGATCATGAAGATCATCCGTTGAAACAAAGTAAAATACCAAGCCTGGTCTTTACATTAAAAAAGAAAAAGACCTGAAAGGCTTTATTTTGTCCACTTAAAATCACCCAACTCCAATGCTAATATTATCTTCATTTTCCAAATGGACCTTTAATCAAAAGGACAGTCAAGCCTATAAAACTTCCTTAATGAAGCTTTCAAAAGGGAGCTAAGGCTTGATACAACAGCAGCAGTTAATGTCAGTGCTTAACATTTTTCTGGTCTGACTTCCTGAAGAATTCATCATTTCAGAAACTAACCTCTTGAGGCTACTTGAACATTTACTAACAGAGCAATCTGTGCTAAACTCCTCCAGCTCCCACCTCAGCATCCTACTCATAGAGCGAGGGGATTACGTTCATATTTATATGTTGACTTCATCTGTAACAACAGACATAAGTAATTAAGGAGCAGTAGAAAACGATTCAAAATAAGAACTGGAAACACATCCTTCCCTATTCATACCAGTGTGCGAATAGCATTTTTAATGGTAAAAAAAAGAGACTGGATCCAACTCCCTGCTCTGGATCTGGTATAGAAGGGATCAAAGCGAAGCAAGGCCCTTCTGGTGAAGTGTCTTAAACACGCATTTCATTTTCCTTAGTGACTGGTAAGAAAGCACCCCAAATTAGCACACACTCATGTTTGCATACAAGGTTTACACTGCTTCATATACAAAATGCTTAAATGCCACTTTTCAAGGAGTTAAACACAATGTAAGACCCTCTCTTCCACTATCCGGACCACGCCACATTGTACTACAGAATCTGACTGTATGATCAGTAACACTTTTGTTATTTCACCTCTCAACTGCCTAGGATTGATCTCTACAAGAACTTCTGACACAACACTGCATAGCTGTGATTTAGAAGTTGAATAGGAGTGCTCTAGCAGATATTACACTCTACGCAAGAATACAAAGGCTATCGAAGTCCTGGAGTTGGAACAGTGTTTATAAAGAGACTCTAAATGCCAACGCTGATAAAATATTTCATTCCTCTCCATTTCTTTCCTCTCTCTTCCAGAGAAGTTTCCAGTATGCAGCCTAAGTAGTGTAATCATTACCTGAGGCTACATCTATCTATATATCGGGCCTAATTAGTTAAAAATACAGTGCTGAGTTCTTCCAAAGCCTGCAACTTAGAGACCACATTAACCTTAGTCAATAACTCTATTATGCTGCTTTTTCAGTCTGGAATAAAGATAAAGTGACTGACAGATAGTCCTGGAACCTATCCCCTTTAATTCCACAGACCCCAGCCTAAGGAAATGAGGAATCACGTCTTGTTCTTCTATCATGTCTTGCCCACAACTTGGAATTAACTGCTCCAAGAGAGCACTGATTAGTATCTGTGCCCTTTAGACCTCATCTGTTCTTACTACCAAGAGTTAGTAATCAGTTACATGGACAGATAACTCACAGCTGAATAGAAACCATCAGCTGTTTTGACAGGAACTTTTAAAACTAATTTATAGACCATGACCATAAAACAGCTATGTAAACCTCAGGGACTTCATATCCTCATGATGTTCAGTCATTGATAAAGCCAAGCACAAGCTAGAACTCTCATGGTAACAATGTACATAAGCTTTTGCAGGGCTGAATTTGTAGTGGTACTTTAAATAACCATTTACTGTTTTCTTTATTGAGATAGAAGAATTCCATAAAGACTCCTCACACTGCAGACTCAAGTCATTTTTGCAACACTTGTCATCAGAGCTTTGTTTGCTTGCTAGATCTTTTAACTACTCATAGTTTTTAGAAAGCCTAAATTACCCTAGTGCTGAAGAGGAAAAAGTAGTAGATTTGAGAAAACAAGGCTCAGCATCTTTGATCGAACGTAACTCCCACAACTCCCACAACTATCCTTCTACTTTCTCACTCTGGTGAACCCACGTAAGAAGATGCAAAGAGTAGTTCTGTGTAGATGGCACTCTTTAAACAATGACAGTACTACTGCAGTCCCAATGGCCATGGCTATTCTAAAGACTTTGAATTCGTGTTTAAGCACTGCAGATCCAGCCAACAAAATACTCAATTCTGAATGTAAATCATATACAGAAGCTAACTAGGAAGGGCACCAGCTGCAAAGTTTGACCAGTGATGTGTACAGTGACTTGTATCTGTTTGGTCCTGCTCTCTTAATTTTTATTAATTTCTTAGTGAAATGGAAAATAGTATCAGTTAACATCATTCAGCCTTTGTACTGCAGTATAGTAAAATTGGCTAACAATTGTTTTCTTTTTATCTCCACTTCTACATTGCAGCAATGACATTCTACTACATTTAAAAAGGAGAAGGAGAAAAAAAAAGATGGAAAGACTTACAGAGTTGTCTTTCACCAGAAGAGCACAGCACTGAATTCCTGCCAACAGCATTTTGTGGGGATTCCAGGCAACAGAATCTGCCCTACAAATTTACAAAGGGAGAAATGTAAGAAGGCACAGAAATTGCACCTATAATCATTGATACTCGAGTCAAAACTGCTTAACTGCATTCCAAGTAGATAAATCAGATTTTCCTTCTACTCCCCCCCTCTCCCCCCTCCATAAGTAATAATAGTACATATTTTGGAAAACACAGCTTTTGTAGAGGCCATTAGGCCACATTTGTCCATCTCAGTCCCTGATAAGAGTGACCATGAACTAAAACTGCCTTACCTTTGAATACCATGAAGAAGTCTGCGATGCTTTCTTGATATCAAAGCTGAGCCGCCCCAAGAAGCCTGTTGGAAAATTTACAGAGCCAAGGCAATGTTATTTTTATAAAGTATTTAGTGCTCTCTGATAACGCTTCATTTAGTTACTAGTTGCCATGTTTTATCACATTTTACATTTTTAAATCTCAGGTCATCTAAGAACCAGGAGTGTGGTCTAAGCATCCACTGAAACTCTTATATCCTCTTATCTATTCCAGATGCCTATCTTTGAGTGACATCTTTTGCACATGTCTCTCTCCATGCACTCCAGAAGGAGCCTAAACAAGCATATACCACACTCAACTTTTGGATACTTCAAGTTAAGGAAGGTGACTCTCCTCTGTGAATCTGAAAGTACCAGATATCACCCATCAGCTGCAGTATATCTCCAGTTCTCAAACAACATTTATCTAGGGACACATACTGTATTTGAGAAATTATACTAAGCTTGAAAAAAGAATTATCAGCATTTATGAAAAAAGAATCCACATATAGGTTCCTGTGAAATAAGCAACACTCCTCAGAGATGCAGAGAAGGCATCAGTCCACAAAACATTCAAATTCAGCTTATTGGAGGAAAAAAAAAAAAAAAAGAAAAAAAAAAGCCCAACAAAAACACACATATTTTGGGTTAATGAAGAAGAAAAAAATCACCACTGTGAAGATTCTTGATTTAAGTATGGTAAACTCATGCTTGCTTGGTTTTGGGTAGTTTTGGGGGTGCATGTGCTTTTTGTATCTTTGCTTGGGCTTTTCTTTATTGCTTGAGAAAAACAGCTGTGAAAGCTAATCAATGAATCGTTAGCTTCACATGCTATGCATTAGGAGTAAGATCTGCTGTCTTTGGGAAGCAAGCACAATAAAGACTCGCAAGGGAAATGAACAGTTAATAACCTGTCCTAATGCATGCATATCATTAGTTCTCATTAATGCGGTACACAAACACCACATCATATTTTACGTTGCCATGCTTACAATATTCTTGCTGAGAATAGGGCTGCTGTTCTATCTATATTCCACAGTATAAGAGAGAAAATTGTTTGTCTCAACTCCACATTATGCTTACGGCAGAACCACGATGTAAAATTGGGTTACCCTAGACAAGATGATCTTCCTATTTACTGACAAATTTTGCTCTTCTTGTTCAAAAAAAAAAAAAAAAAAAAAAAGCCAGAAAAGCCATGAAATTATTCCCCAATTTTCACAATTCATAATCAACAGAATAACATACAATAATTCTTTTAAAAATTTGCAACCAATGTATTTGAAAAAGTTGGCACTTTCAAGCTGTCCTATAAAACAGAACTAGAAAAGCTCACAAGAGCTCGTCCCACTGTGCCCTACCTCCAGAGACAGGATCAGCCATCTCACTTCCACCAAACATTCAACATTTGTGTAGATTAATAAGAAGTGAACACACCCAGCTTGTGAACAGTGGCAAAATGAAAGATAAAGTGCAGAGAGACATTAACAACAGCTGCCTAAGCAACACTGTTGGCACTTCTATCTGCCCTCATTTTTAAAACTGCTTCTAGAGATCTGGAAAACAAATGTACAGGTAGAACAGAGGTGTAGTTAGAATGGCATTTTACAGGTTCGTAATTAGAAAGATTATCACATGGTGGAAAGAGACAATCAAAAATGAAATGCTCACCCATGTCCTAGGCTCACAACAGAAAACTCCAAAAGGAGGGATCTCCAGAAAGAAACCCTTCCCCCCTGGAGTCAGCCTTTAAATGGAGTCTAGAAGTGCAGGCAGGCTCCACCCCTTCCATCATACAGCTGAATTGCATTCACCTGTGCTCCATGGCTGACTCAGTGCGCTCCTCAGGTGATCAATCAGTGCTTCAGGCCCTGACTCAACAGTTTCCACACTGGTACAATAGCACTGCAGGGCTGTGCATCTCCACCACCTTTCAGTGTGTCCTGGAGCCACAGTACCATTAGGTAAATTTGTGCTTCATGTTTATTTGCCCAGTTCACAGATGAAGTGCTTAGAGATACAAGGCCAGGAACAAGATAGCACCTATGAAGATTGAGAATCACTGGCTTTGCCTGTTTTTAAAGAGTAATGGAGCTTGCAAGACTTTGCCACCTGATTTGTGTTTAACCACCTAAAACCTACAGAATGAAATGTCGGTCCTAAACACTGTTACCTCTGTTATCCATAGTGACCATGGGAAACACATGGTCTTCTTTTCCTCCTTGCAGCAGCTCAGCCATGTCCAACCCGCAAGCTGAAGGCTGCAAGAGGCCTGGCCCAGCCCACCCTACGGCCATCGCCTACCCTGTGCCATCATGGTGGTGGCTCTGAGCACTGAGCGGCCCAGCCCAGCCCCACGCACACACCTAACCTACTGCTCACAACAACCTCACAGCAGCGTGTGATTGGTACTGCCTGAAACCAGAAGATGGGGAAGGTGCAGTGCAGTGCCCAGTTATGGCAAATAATTGTGTGCATGGGATTGGTTGAAGAATGACTTATTTGTAAAACAACATATGACCAGTAGCTCGTAACAAGCCCTTCTTGAAATGTAGCTTTTGATTTGGACTCAGTGGATATAGCAGGTGGAGCACCAAGCAGAAAGGATTATTTTATGTATTTTTATTCAAAGAAGCTGTCAAGATATTTATCCCTATCCGCAAAAGCTTAAAGCTGCTAATCTGTGATGCACTGCAAACATCGTATCTTTTTCTGGAGATCTGCTATCTAGCCAACATTTCCAAGCTCTACGTGCAGCTGATTATTTCAGCTTAAACCTAGAGCAATAACGTTATTGAACTGTAACCTAGTTTTTCCACTTTCTTCTCCAAGCTGTCAAGATCTCAAATTTCTAATCCTGTCCTCCCACTGCCTCTTGTAGTTTTATGTTATCTTCATTTTTAGCTAGTGGATTCTTTTTCATCTAAGTTATTAATAAAAATACTGGATAACATAACCTAGGATATATATTTCCTGAAGTTCACTCAAAATATCCTTCCACTTCAGCAGTGAATCACTGATGGCTGCTCTCTGAGTATGATTTTCCAGCCAGACTTTCATTCACTACCACAGTTGCAGTTTCATAGCATTTCTCTGGCCTTCTTATGATAATTTCCATGAGTTATTGCTAATATACACTAAAGTTAGCAGCTTCTTCTCCATGCATGAGGCTAGAGAAGGAAAGTACACTGACCAACCTAGATGGGCACATTCTGTTTCTGTAAATCCAGCTGAGAATAATACAGAGTAGTTCAAAACACATGAAGATCAGCTGGGTCCCATGCAATGAGAAAATGATTCTTTCATAGGTAAGAAATCACAGCAAACAATGGAAGTCACTGGGTGTTTGCAATGTGATTAAACTAACTACCTAAGCATGGATAATAGGTTAAAACAGCTTTTCTGCTCTGGCTAGCTATGGGAAAAACTGTAAAGGACCAGCAGGGAGGTAACACCCCTGTGTTTAAAGCTATATATGTACACAATACAGGACATACAAAAGTGATCAAGCTTGAGTGCATATTGATGACATCAAACAACTAATTAAGAATGACCTCATAGATGTATGCTAGATTATTGCCATGACCATTGTATGAATGCTGCAATGCGTACAGAATACTGTCTCTGCATTGGCTGTTGATTGACTGCTGAGAGTTTGGGCTTATTGGTATTTTCAAAAACATTTTCTTAACTTCCTTTTCAGGTCTGTATCCATGTAAGAACTCACCTACTATTTTTGACTTTACTAAAATTTATCTTCCTGAAGCCTGCTGATTTTATGTTGATTTTCTCCTTTTGCCCTTTCTTAGGATCATGAACTTTATCATTTCATATTTAATGAGAAGAGTCTCCCTGAGGCAAATATATCAATTTTTTGTATCAGAAGATATTTTGAAATGAGATAAAACAGTGTAAATCTGGAAATAATGCCACTGACATTTCATGGAATAAAACTGCACAGACAATTCTTGAGATCATTTGTGGTAGATAATCCTGATTCTCATCAGTGATAAGAGTCTTAAATTAAAGCTTTCTTTGTTTTTAAATGATTGTTTTAATGGTACTGTATCTTTTTTTCCTCCAAAGTTATGGCAGTAACTCACTGACAAAGAAGCAGTACTTGCCATAAAAATGAGACCTCACAATGTGTAAAGCATTCAACTGGAAGATAAATCTTCCAGAGGAATGCAGATCTTCAAAGATTATTTAATACAATGTTCTTGACTATAAGGCTAGAGGGAGGTTGGCTTGCTTAGAAGTAAAGAAAAAAATAAAATCAAACCTTTCATTGTGTTTCTTACATGCTATTTGTGAATGGCAGATACTTGATCCCTACTTTTTCTATATTATTCCAGTAAATCTATTTCAAATACTGCTGTGAGTGAAGAAAAGGTCACATTACAAATTACAGTTTGATCTTTTTATCATAGCATGTTTGTATATATAGATATGCCTTACGTCACTTACATACAAAGCTTTCAGTCTCTTCCCTTTATTCTATTTCCATACAGTTACGAACTTTAAACAGAAATAAAGAAACAATGCACTCAGTTCTTGACAGTTCACCTGAGCGTGAATTAAAAGATGGACAAAATACTGACAGAACTCCCAAGAAAGGCTGAGAATTCATTGAAAGGTTAATAACATGAATCACATCCTAAGAGAAAAATGAGTCTTCAAAACCATAAACTACCCAGTTTATGGCTGTACATTTGTTATTCTGTGGTAATCAGTTAACATCTGACAGTCACTTTTAAAATAGAAAATTAACTAAGGTATTCATTGACATTTTCCTTTTAGCTTAACGAGAGGTAAAGTTGAAGGAAAATTTAGTTTTTTACAGAACACCAGCAACTGCCTATGTAGTACAGCTCAGAATATTGCCCCAGTATATACACCTAGCTTTTGTTATTCAGCTACAGGGAGTAGATTAGGAAAGTGCTCATGGTTCTCCCATGGCCACTGGAGATGCCTCCAGCAGTTTCACCTCCTAGATGAGTATTCCAACAGAGATTTGGAATACACCCATCTCTTCACTGACTGAACAGATACACAAGAGACTAGCACCTAACATGAATTCTTCACTTCTGCTGTAAATCCTGCTGGGTAATCCTCACCAGCACAAAACGAGGAGGAGGCTCTGCAGACACTTGAAATATTAGGACTAAATTCTATATCTATCTTTGCCTCCAAGTCAATAAGAAAACTCTTCTGACTCACACATACCAAGACTTAATTCAAGTCTGAGACAGTTTTATATGAACTGTCTTTTTTTCTTTAACTGCTTAACATAAAACACTTGAAAAATTTAAAGCAGATCTAAAAATCTCTTCTCAAGTTGCTCCAGATTCTCTCATCATTCCTTGGATTTTGGTATAGATATTCTGAGTTCATGGCATTGTCACTACAAAAAGAATGCAGTTTTAGAAAATATGAAGAAGCCTAGTTTTAGAAAAACACACTTGCAGCTACCTCTTTCAGGTAATGAATAGTCTCAACGATTATTCCAAAGAGGTTCATGAACTGATTTTATAATGCCAGTAATAAAAAGGGTCAGTGATTATTCCAAAAGGGCTCACAAATCGATTTTAAAATCTAGAACTAAAAATAAAAAGAAATGAGACAAGAAAAATTTCTGAATAATTTAGGAAACCTTAAGGGGATGTACAGGAAACTGAAATCTGAAACTATGAAACAGAACAATTTCTGGTTGGTGGAAGCCGAGATATCTTTATTTCAACCTGTATGAATGATGCACCACCTTTCTAATGTGTCCATTCCCCAAAGGAATGTGGTTCTTTTAGTATATAATCATCCTTGAAGCATTTTGGGTTGTAGCAAGAGCAAAAAGAAATTGATCTTAAAATCATCTGAAACTAGCATGACGATGACATGAAAGTCTTAACTGCATCACACAACCAAATCATTTGCTGACTTTCAGCATAGGCAGCAGAGACAAATAAGGATATGTATTTCTGTTTTCTCTGAAAAAAAAAAGTTAATTAAGTCCGACTTACTACAACACAGAAACATCAACAGTCAAAGAAAGATATGAATTGTAAAAGAAAAAGCAATGCTAAAGAAAAGCACACAGTGTCCAAACTCACGTCAACATGAAGCCAGAGGTGATGCTTTTCACAGATATCAGCAATTTTATCCAGAGGATCAAATGCTCCCAGTACTGTTGTGCCTGCAGTAGCACAGACAAGAAATGGTGCTGACCCCTGCAATAGGATTCAAAACAAAAAACTGTCATTCACACCATTCATTTCTCTCAGTATATATGGAAAGCTGAAGTATAACAAGGTCATGAAAAGTAGGACAAAGATGTGACAGTCTACATTTTAGTTTCCCAGCACTGAGAGCCTCATAAAGAAGGTCCTGAATATAAAAATGCTGACTCTTAGGAAAAAAAAAAAAAAAAAAAAGGCATTTCCAGCTAACACCATCACAGGGCAGACTGCTCTGGTTCAGACAGCTTCAGACTGTTTTGACAGATGCCACTTTTATCAAGATGAAAGCACTCCGGATATTTAACATCCCTTTTTATACACTGATTTTCATTTCTTGATCTTCCATATTTTACCATCCAATTTCCTACCATTATGCCAAACACAAATCAAGCTTTTAGTACAGCCAGCATGCTACCCCTGCTGGGAAATGACTCATGCCTCCACGGACTCACTTGTGCTCCCCCTACAATGCCTACATTCTTTGCCAACTGGCATACAGCACAACTTGACTGTTGCTATCTGACCCCAGTGCCCTGTGTACAGCCAAGTCCTACCCTCTTGCTCCTTACTATCTAGAAAACAGGAAGGGATGTTGATGGCAACTGAACCACAGTAGAGAGACCACTGGAAATCTGACAGTTTAAAGATTAGAAGGGATCTGTGACAACTTCATGAAATTGAGGGTACAAATCCCAGCAATGACTGTCCATTCTCATGAGCTGTAAGTTCATGCTGAAGCAACTACTCTGCTCATTCCAGTATCTGGCTCACAACATGACAGTGCAGCTATAGAAGCAGCACCAAGTTGTTACTAAATTGCATAATCTTGGATCCCTGAAGTTCACTTGCAGTGGGTTAAATCCCACAGATGACGTAAATCTGTGTGCTGATGTAACTCAGAGTAGTTTCACTGCAATCAGACATCAGATGGAAATCAAACTCTAAGTGCAAGTCTTTCATGTAGCTTCACTTTAACTGAAATCTGATCTTTGTTTTCCTCATTTTTTATTTTTTATTTTAAAGTGTTGCCACTTTTAAACATCTACAACAGCCAAACAGGCTTGATTCACATTTACATTCTGATAGTTTTATAATTCATTGAAAAACAGAATGGCTTGGGTTGGAAGGGATCAAAAGGGATCAAAGATCATCTAGTTCTAAAGCCCTTGCCAATCACAAGATTAGACTGCCCAGGAACCCATCCAACCTGGCCTTGAACACCTCCAGGGATGGAGCATTCACAACTTCTCTGGGCAGCTATGCCAGTGCCTTATCAGCCTCTAAGTGTAGAATTTATTCCTAACAACTAATCAAAAACCTTCCCTCTTTCAGTTTAAATCCATTTCCCCTTGCCCTATCACTGTCTACCTGTATAAAATGTCAGTCACTCTCCTGCTTGTAAAAGAAGGAAAAGAAGATCGCAACAAGGTCTCCCCAGAGCCTTCTCTTCTCTAAGCAATCTCAACTCCCTCAACCTTTCATCACAGGAGACGTGCTCCAGGCCCCATAATTCTTTAACAGTGTAGAGGACTCTTAGAATAGCACATAATTATGATGTATTTGTACTTTAAAGTTTCCCCACAATTTGCTAAAGCAATGAAAAGTAGCGTTGGAATAAATTAAAATTAATCCCACACACAAAGAATTACCAGCTTGTAATTCACTTCTTGGTCATTCATTCTTACTACAGCCTACAACAAAAATCAATCAAACTTACAAAAGAACCTGAAGCTCAAATACAAAACACTTTCAAGTGAGGCTAAGACTTATTTGCTGCACTTAACAGTTTCTCTTAGTACTCTTACCAATTTCCTCAACCACAGCTACATCACAATCACACAGCCTGCCCAGCTGCCAGCAGGCAGCCTGACAAAATATGGGGACAAGTTTAGGACCATTACAAATTCAAAAAACTATAGTTACCATTGCAATTGTCTATGAAGAAGAGAATCACACTTTTATTCTCGCCAATAAAGTTAAATAGATGTTCTTGACTAAATTCTCTAAAAACAGGACTAAGACTCTCCCTCTTCAGAGCCAGTGAACATTCTGTGTTCTTGTCACTAATGAATACATCCTCTTGTTTAAGAGTCATTAGAATATTTACTGTAATTCACTGAAGTGTCCTTCTGTAAAAAGTTGTAAAACAGTACTTTATCAAGGACAGATAGAGTTATGGAAGCTCAGGTGAAATGGAAAATTTCCAAAATGCCTGTAATTTCCATCAAAAGGCAAGCAAAATAGTGTTTCTCAAAGGTAGCACACCTATGAGCAGATATTAATATAGAATATAGAACATTGTTTTCAAATTGCACAGAACTGAATTGAGGCTGACTTCTTTGTTTAACAACATAAATACCAGATGATCTTTCTAAATAACCACCAAATCACACACACACAAAAAAAAAACAACAAGAAAACGTTTTTCCAGAGCACAGAGCTCATTCTCCTGTCTGCCTGCTTTCTCTTGCTCCACACTTCAGTTCTTCCTCCTCCTCCCCCTCCTGATTGCTCAAATGAGCAAAGTACAGACTGTCTTCCATGGATAAAGAAAGGAAGAGTTTGCTAGCTAATTAAGGACACCATGTATCACTAGTTATTCTGTCTAGTGTCAAACCCAAAGGGGAGATGGTTATTTGGCAGAAGATGTATCTAAGGAAGGTTTTAATTAATGCAATTGTGGCCACACCAGTGCATGACAGGATGGCAGTGCTGTGCCGTTTCTATCAGCCACAATAACTCCCAAAGTAGGATCTCATGGTAGGCAACATCCACACCAGGGACAATACACTAGCTTGTTAGTATTCTCAGCTCATGGACTAAGGGCTGAGATCCAAATCCTTCTGCTCTAAAGCAAGAAATGAGTGGCGTAAGCAAGCCAGAAGAAGATGCTCCGCGCCTTACAAGCCATATTCGGTCCTCCAAACTCTCTAAAATAAGTTACAATGACTACAGTAAGCGCTACCTTACAGAGTGTGGGGATGTGTATTAATGCTGTCCAAACAAAACATCAATACACTTCCAATTGCTGCCCTTTCACTTTCTGGTTGGCAAAGTGTCTGTGGGAAAAGAGGCACAATGGAATCTCTGCACTCTTAGGACAGGACTAAGAAGGACACAAATTAGAATTTGCAGCATGTATGACAGTTTCAGAGACCAAGCCATATCTTACAACTCTTGTTCACTGCAGAAGATAGCACAATAGCTGCTATCATAATGAAAAACCTTCAATTTTCATTTCCCTTTTAAGATACTGCATCCATTTTATTTAATAAAGATCAAGGGCAAAAGAAATCCTACTCTTAGACGAAACGTGCTGAATACTTCAGAGTAATGTTGTACTGAGGGCTTTCATTAATTGTGAAAGCCCTGTAGAATTTCATTTCCCAGAACAACATAACACCTAAGAGCCTAGGCCTGCTCCACAAGTTTGGGGCAAATGGATTGCACCTGTAAGAAAAACAGTGGTACATTAACTGCTCTATTTTTAAGATCTCACTCACTCAAAGTTTTCCTTCCTTTCACTCAGACACAAGCACACAGTCTGCATACGCTCCTCCTCTCTCTTTCACGCTTTCTCTTCCCCTCTCACCTCTTTCCTGGCCCGTTGGACTTGTTTCTCCAGTTCCTCAGGTATCATCTTACCTCTAAGGGACACAGATTTAAAACTTTTTCAGTTACATTCAAATAAGTTGGTTAGTACAGCACTACTGCATTTCAAAAAGCTCAGAGAACACAGCAATGATTTTTGCTTGCTTACCTTTCATCTGTTTTGATGAAGTAAACGTTCTCCGTACCAATACCCAGGAAAGAGGCTGCCTTCTTCATGGAGTAATGACACTGTAATTGAAAGAGTCATAAAAAAAAAGAATTAAAAAAGAGCACAATTAAAAATTCCTTTGCATAGGAAACACTGATATTGAAATAAATTTAATACCAGCTAACAGTCATAATAACAGTATATCCTAACACATAAATCAAATTGACAAAGCTGCCAAGTAGAAAGACGTATTGTACTTAACAATTTATGACAGGGAGCAGGGAAAACAAACAAAATAGATGTGCACCATGTTTAAAATGTTGGCTTAGAAATAAAAAGCTCCATTACATATCCATAGTTTAAGCCAATACTACATTAGAATAAAAATAAGAAAAATTTAAAATAATCATTAAGAAAGAATGATTAACTTCTTTTCAAAATGTGAACTTTGTTTCAAAATGTTTAAATAGAAATGAAAGTAATAAGAGTAAAAGGCAATTTCAAAAGAAGAAAGGTCTAAAGGCTATTGAACTCAGCAGCCCAGAGGCAGCTTATAGGTCTGAATATCCAAAAGAACCACCCCTGGAAACTGGACTCTTAATCAGGATGTACACAAAGATAATCTCTCTCTACCACTTCATAATTCTGTTTTTTCTATGTGCTTTCTCTAAACAACAGCTGTTGGACACTGTCAGAGACAGGATACCTACGTTAAACCAACTTCTGGTCTGACTCAGCAGTTCTGTTCTTAAGATCACAGAGTTTAAGTTCCAAGACTGAACAAAATTTTTAGAGTTTGTACAACCAGGACATTCAAGGCTTTCAAATCCTTGAAAATCTTGGTGGTTAGACCAAGGTTGTCCGCACGAATTTAGATCTTGGAAGCCATTATGAAAGCAAGCAGACTTTAGATGGCACTTAGTACATCAGACGTCTTTAAATCAGTATGGATTATGGAAAAAGTTCCAGTTTGAACCAGCCTATATTTTAGTATTTTATCAAAGAATTTTAGCTACGTCTTGTCAAAAAGACGTCTATGAACAAATGCAAATGAACACCAATAGACACAGCGTGCTTCTCATTTTGAAGCGAATAAAGGGCATCTGTGTACGAAGCCTGTAAAGTGACTGTAAAAGATGCCCCTTCACCTGCTCGAAGGATATCAGAAATGGGCTTTTAGTCAGTCAGTGAATGATAAAATTACTCAGATGAGGACATTTGAGCTCACAGTCCACTCTGTAGACTGTCCACTCTTTTTTTCTTTTAAATATTTAAGATCTTTTAGCTTCCTGCATTTCCAATGTTCAACTTAACAAAGTGGAAGCAGCTCTACAGGGATACCGTTCTTCAGTGTAACAGCTTTTTGTATCATTCCAAAATAAGAGCACACTCATATCACACAGCTTAACCCATTTTCAAGAGTAGCCCGGGAATTCAAGACACAATAACCTTAATCTGAACTTGTTCTGAGATCTCAAACTCTCAACACCCTGCAACATGATAAATGTCTACCCACTCAAACCAATGGAGCAAGTTTTGAGAGCATTCAGCATCTCATAGGACTACACAGTTCTCAGAATCAAGACTACCCAAGTCTGGGATTATTACTTCTAAAAAAATAAAATTGGATTTTTTTACACATTATTACTGAAGAGTTAAAACAACCCTTATTCCAGCAACCGTGACAATGTCTAGAATTGTTACTTTTCAGATAGGAGGTGAAACCAGGTGGATAATTAATTCCATTTTCTTCCAGAGAGTTCACACAAATGGAGTTACTGCAGAACATAATTATGAAAAATGTACAACATTTTAATGTGTGGGTATGAATATATTAAGGATATTAAAGCCTGTCACGCTTATTTTGATGAGATGGATCATCTCAAAGGGCTCTTTTTCATTTTGACAAAAAGCTTTTCTCCTCACCATTGCACACTTTTTAAAGGCATACAAAAATACTACCTGATACTACCAGTTAGTTCTAAGAATGCTTACTTTTGTAACGTGACACATTCACAAAGCCTTTAGGACACGTTCATTTCAACTCCACAAAAATTACAAGATACATAGGTAGATAATTAGTCTTACATGGCATCAATAATGGTAATAATGATTGTAGAGTGGCAATGTGTTGATCGTGGAAATTTGGAGATGCTTTAAGCTATTTAGCAAATTGTTGAAAATAAGGTCTCTATCACTGATTTCTGTCCATTAGGGTCAAATGAAAGGTATGAACCACTAGAAATAATACAGTCTCAGATTTGGAAAGCTGTAGAATTACAAAATAACTGTATTAGTAAAGTACTCCTCACTAAATAATTTATTATTAAAACTGGTATACAAGAATGAGAGAAAGATAAGAGACTTGAGCATTTGAGAGATTATACTAAAGAGCAGAAGGAGAGGGAAGAACAGAGAGGACACTAAAACATAACAGACTGCCAGGTGTATTATTTCTCACCTTTACAAGAACTTCTGTTCCTCCTTCTGTCCTACTGAAGACCTGATAAAATTTGATAAGTCTACCGTAGGACAGAAAAGTGACTGTATATTACAACACTGCCTTGAAATGTGCTTTCTTTTCTTCAAAGTAACCTTTCAGTTATATTGCTAGAAAACATACATGAACTTCATTTTTTTTCACCATCATTACATAAACCTAAATCACACCACATTCTTTTAAGAAGAAAACAGAGAACATCAGAGCTCTGGTCACAACAATATAAAATAGTTCATTTGTTCATAGTGTCCTTTCAATAAGGAGAAAGCAATACTCAGATAAAACATTATTTGTATCTATACTACATATAAGATATCAAGTAATAATTTTTAATACCAAAAGTTGAGATTACTTTTGCCTTGTCTTTTGTAGTTTTGATTGGACATGTTAACTCTGTAATCATTATGAGTGAGAAATGAATGCCAAAAAGCACAAGATCAAACCAAAACAGTACATTTAAGATGTGATGCTGTACTGTGTTAACTACAGCTAGACAGTTAGTTTTCTTTTTCGAATAAGATTTGCAAAGATAATTTACTTTCCCCATGCGCTCATTAAAAGAGAAGATAAATATCTTCTCTTGGTTTTGAAGAGTTTCCTACAAACATGATTGCATAAAGCAATTACATTATTATGAGATTGGTTTATTACTCATTTTTGTCTCATGTAATTTCAACAGGGGGCAACACTGTGAGTTAAAGTTGTGTTCTTCCATTTTATTACTTTCATGATCAAGGACGAATTTAATTCCTTTGCATCTAAAAACTACTCATAACCACAGAACAGTAGGGGTTGAAAGGGACCTCCAGAGATCGAGTCCAGCCCCCCTGCCAAAGCAGGTTCCCTACAGCAGGACACACAAGTGGGTGTCCAGGTGGGTCTTGAACATCTCCAGAGAAGGAGACTCCACAACCTCCCTGGGCAACCTGTTCCAGTCTCATATCAACACACACATTTCAACAGTTTACACATACACTCTTCTACCCTCAGTTACCTCAAATTTAGCAAATTCCTACCTTTCAGATCAATGCAATACATTCTTGAGTCAGAATAAAGCTCAAATGGAGAAAAATTATAATAATAATAATGATAATAATAAATGAAGCAAGTGGGTTGCTGTCTACAACTATAGCTGTATTCAGATTCTACAGAAACACTAATCATGCCTCAGGAAAGTGAGATTTAACAACTTCTTACTACTGAAATGGTCTCAAGAGGAATCACTCTGTAATTGTCCAGCAAGAGAGCTATAGAAGAGTACCATCTTCATGGAATATCATGACCGTAAAGTAGTTTAGTATTTTACTTGCAGTAAAAAGGAGCACTTTTGTTGCTGAAGGCCAAATACAGCATGTGAGGACCTTCAGTAGGCCACACATTAAACACAGAACTTCATATTAACTACAAACATACAAAGTATACATGGTCCCCAGGTCACATAAAATTAAGTCGCTGACAACTCCATGCACTCCCCTGCTCTTTCAGCCTGCCAACTGCCAGACAGAAACTGTGGGACTTGGCAACTCAAAGCAAAACAAAAATCATTTTATTTCAATAGCGTTGAAGCAAAGCCCTACAACTAGAGTGCCTGGAGCTGACAGTGCATTTTGACTCCTTATCAATACTCTCATTTCATTAAAGCCTCATTACTTCTCCATGCCAACACTATTTGCCTTACTCACTTTAAAGCTAAACACAGGTTGCAACTTCGCTATTATCATTTTTTTCAATCATTTGCTTACACAACACAAAACAGGTCTATGCCTTCTGGGAACTCTGCAGAGCAAAAACAACAGTAAAATTCTATACAAAAAGCAGCATCAAAATAAAAACAACTAATAAAAAATGAAGACTGACACAAGCACTTACATACTTCTTTTTACTGTTGGGCATTTATTAAATACACTCTTACACTCTCACTAATTACAACATAGTTTTGTGAATCAAGTGAAGCATTACAGATCAAGAACACTGCCTTAAAAGTAATTCAACTTTTTTTTCTGGTTGATTCTGTGTTTCAGTAGAGTTTGTAATAACACTTCTGCACAATGAGAAAATCAGAACTGGAGAAGTGAGAGAAAAGAGCCCCTAAAGAAAAAGAAATTAGCTTCAGAATAAATGTATGGACATATCTCCAATTCCCACAGACAGTTTGAACAGATATTACTCAAAAACTTCAGAAATAACCACATATTTTCAATTATTTAAAGAAGAACTGCCTAGAGATCCAGAAGAATTTGCCCAAATATTTTATGGTAGGTTTTGTTCTCTACCACAGCAAATTCAGATACAGGTACCAGTGGGAGCTGCAGAGAGCCATTTCACAGGTCCAGAGGCATTCAGCTCAATACAAACTTTGACATCTTGCAAGAAAAATTTCTGAAACCTACGCATGGATCCTGCTAGACTGTAAACTGTAGATCTCCACAACACCCCAGATGCTTTGCTTTTAGGTTTACCCCACGCAGTCTTCTCTTCTATCAGCTGCTCCCAAGAACAAGAACATCCAAAGTTACTTGGACAATAAGAAAGCTTCTGTAGGGAAATTTATCATCAGACTTGTCCAGGTAACTCTGATATTTTGCATCATCCACTGATGGCAAATTCATTGTACCAGGACCCCAGTCAGATATGTGAATGTTATAATTATGCAGCCATTGAAAAATAAAATTAATTGTTAAATGCTTTAAGAAGCTCTGTTTTGTTTTTACCTCTTCCGAAGTGAACAGGACTAGTCTTGGCAAACCTGAGAGCCCTTTTTCCTTTATCTCTGGACAAAACTTGTATCTTGCTAAGTTCATAGCATACATATTAGAAACAGAGCCACCTGAAATAAAAGACATACAAGTATCATATTAATCACAGTCCTAACATCTTTTCTATCTCTGAGTGATTAGTCTATTACAAAAAAACAAGAAAAAAAAACCACAAAAAAAACCCAAACTACTAGGCTCTAGATGCATTTACTGTAACTTAATTCCTCCCCCAAAAACCTGCAGATATAAAATGAACTATATCATGAATGGAAACAGAGCTGGTTTGAATGCTCTTTGGAGGTTATTTCCCAAAGAAGTAAGAATTATGCTTAAACAGTCCTCCATGATGGAGAACACCCTGCAACAACACCTTCTGACACACACCAAAGCAGCACCAGTTGAACTGTGGCTGTATTGTATGTAGCCTAGGAGATCTCCTGGGCAGCCAGAGCATTGCAATTTAAAAATAAAAATAAAAATCCATGGTGAGTGCAATCTGCAAGGTGTGATCTAGATTTATTTACTTAAAAAATAATAAAAAGAAGAAGGAATGTCTTATCTAAAACTATCATTAAAAGGCATAATTCATTTATCTATTTCAGTATTTCAGTAAGTTAGAATTAATTCTACAGTAAAGACAAGGGTTCTACTGAAAGTACACATTGTATCTGAAATGAAGAAATCAATGTTACTGATACATTTTTTCACAAGTTTTCCAGAGAGTTTCGGTTTATATCTTTTTTATTTTTCCACGATTCATACGTAGGGTAGAATTCCTAGCCTTGTCTTGGTTTTGAAAGTGGAGGGCTAAATCCATTTCCTCATTTAACATCTTTTTCCACCCCTAACCTAGTCACAAAAGCTTCACATTCAATATAGTAACTTGGAATTTGAACAATCTATGGAATAATACGATGTTTCATTATTTCTTTACATGGGGCTGGAATGCTGCCTTACAGAACACTTAAAAAACGTGACCTATCAAGAAGCTTAAGAAATCTTTCTTTGATTGGCCTATTTGTAACATTTCAAAAAACTGTTAAAGTTCAGAGGAATGAAGCTCATGTCAAACCCACTATAACAGACTCTGGCTCCCACACATGATAGCCAGAATAAATACATCAGTGCCTCTAGAAGCAACTGGTTGGTGTCTAGCAACTACATCAGCTCTCTATCTGTCATCAAATGACTCAGTGCAATCCAGCTGTTGGTGCTGTTGTTAGTAAGGTCAGGAAGGACTTCCATTCCAAACAATTCATTTTCTACAATTATATTTCACACAGAACTTCTTTCGTCAAGCTGCTGATCAGATTCATAGAATTATTAGTAAAATACAAAAAGGGAGCCTGGACACAATAGTTTCCTCTGTGCATCACTGGATTTCACAAGCATTTTCAAATATTCTGTACAAATCAAATGTTCATAGAATTACTGTATCAGATGTATCATGACTTCTTTTGAAAATCTGAATGGTTATTACCTGGATTAAATATGCCATCACCTTCTTCCCAGCCTATGAATTCAATCATTTTCTTGATGACTGCTTCTTCCACTAACAGAAATACAGGTGATACTTCATATGTATATCTGAACAAAAATAAAAGGAACATGTTTGGTATTAACATTACGGAACTCATGCCACAGCATCATGTCAAAATTAGACAGAGGTTTTTTGTACTTTTCTCTTACTTATCAGAAGCTGATTGCCATCAAAAGTAAAATTCTAAACTGAAAAGACTATAGATGTGACCCACAGAGCAATTGCTTAGTTCCTGTCAGCATTACAATGACAATTCCACTCTCACAGTAATACCACAGAGTTTGATTTTAACAAAGATCATAATGCTTAAACTTCAGCAATAATAATCTATTGCAAGCAGCTATCACTTTTTGTTTAGACTTTACATTTGCGAGTAAATAGTAGACAGGTAATCATTTGCACTCAACTCTGTGCAGAGCACATCAAAGGAAATAAACAACTAAGTTGGATTCATTCATTTTGATATTTTTATTCTCAAAGTAAGGAGAAAAAAAGTTTGGGTTTAAAAGTGTTTAAAAAAAAATCTCTTAAGCCTCAAATCACAAACTAGAAAAATCATCAACTTAGCCAAGATTCTGGTGAGCTATTCAGACAAACTAGACCAAATTCTTTCCCAAATTCCTGCACAATTCCTACCTCCTCTGGAACGCTGAAAACAGGGAAAAAAAATTACAAGGGGGAGAAGAGGGGATAGTGGTCAGGAAGATGTTACTTCAAAAAGCATGCAAGATTCATCAATATGAGTACAAGGAACTGCACTTACACACTTGGGTTCAGTGCTTCAGTAATGAAACGAGCCACTAATGAGTAATAATCTATTCCAGCGTACAGCTGATTGTAAAATCTTGGATGATCTGAAAATATAAAAATGAAAAGCAAGCAGGAACAGAATGTATATGAGAAGAGAATACATCACAGGTTCTCTCAGCTGAATGCTGATCCCTGCTAACTATGATTCACTCCCCCATTCTCTCAATATTTTACGGGTTTACTTCCTTTTTTAAATTAGACAATCCTTTGAAAGTAAAAGTTATAGGCATTTTTAGGACCCAAAATAAGGCTGACGTAAGTAGCACACAGAACAAATATGGATTATTCACAAGCTTTAAAGATCAAAAAGAAGTGACTGACAACTGAGTATGTACAGAGGCCTTCAACAGTGGTGTTCAGAGATGCAATGGACATTCAGCCAAGTTTTCCTAAACAGTAAAACATGTAAAATCAGGTAAGCTGTATGACTCCATGCCCATTACACTCAAGGCTTCAATGCATGTTTATACTTAGATTAAGAACTATTTACACTGCATATTTTTCTTATTTAATATTCTTTCTAAGCGTAACAAATGAAAATTTGAAGGCAATTTGCAGAAGATAATCAGAATGCCTTCCACTAACTCAGTAATTATATCTGTGTATTATTAATACACTGCCCCTTTAGATCGGTATTACTGCCTTTCCGTGGTTTTCAAAGATAGGTTCATCCTCAAAATCATTTTATTGCTTTCCTTACAGTAGCAATAGAAACAGTAGGAAGGAATGTGCCTTGGAAGTGCACAGAAATTATATTACATAACCTTCTCACTTTCCAAAATACAGCCCAAGTTATGCCACATCTGAAATCATGAGCTTCTGAAAACAACACTATTTCTTATGCATCCCTTTTTGTTAAGTTTACATTATACTTCACACACTGCAGAAAGGCTACCTATAGAGAACCACTCTTGCAGAGATATCGTGTACGATCTCTGAAACACTGCAGGTTCTCTTCTTACAGAGTCTGGAATGGGAATTACTGCCTGTTGGCAAATTAACATCCTATAAGACTATTGCTCAATAGAAAGCAATAGTAAACACAGGATAATTATCACAAAGAATGCATTCTTATTTGTCCAAGGGCAGTGACGGTGATTCCACTCATCACTGCACAAAATTACATACAAAGATCTTTCCAGTTTCTTTGTCTGTTATATCATATACGTCTAGGCAACTTTCACAAGACCTCAAGAGGACAGAATCTACTGTTAACATCAACAGCATTATGATAATTAGGTTTTGATTAGTTTTCTTTGATTACACCTTCTGGGCAATCACAGACACCTACGGTGACCAGCATGCAGTCAAACAACTGAAACACAATCAAATATTTGTATATTTGTGTAGGCAGATAGAAAGCAGGCATTCAAATCCCTAGTTTTCTGGAAGGTAATATAAACATTATCCTATCTTCCAAGGTTAGTATACTACAAAACAACTTCCTTAGAAATTGCTTTCTTACTGGTTTTGACACTGTACTGTATCACATCCTGGCAGAGTTGCAAGAGTTTCTGATGAGATTCTCCAGTGTCTCTCATTTCCAGATCAAGAATCTTCTTCAGTGTTTCAGGGGCCCGCCATTCACAAACCTAATGATGAGTAAATAGGATACACCAACAGTGAACAGGTTAGGTAAAAGGAAGGCTGTAAGAGAAGTGCCAGGTAAGTACCACATTCAGAACTGCCCATGGAATGCAGCAGGCCATCAAGACAATATATGTCTGCTAAGTTGGTCTCACGTGGTCTTTGTTTTATTGCACCCCAGACATTCCTTGACCATAAAAATCAGAATATGGAAGGCAGAAAGATGTAAAAGATTGGGAGGAGAAGGTGTGCCAGTTGGAACACACAGATGTAAAGAGTCAGCCTTGAGTCACCCAATTACCTTGCTCATGGCTCATATGTCCCAGTTAGGAGAAAGAGGCCTACTGGTCATATTTTGCCCTTAGCTAAGGCTTTGTAGTCCCAACACTTTCAAATGCTGCTCTGCCCAGGAGTGGGAGCAATCTGTGCGTGCCCAAAGGCAATAATGTTTTATTTTCTAGTGCCCTTCCAACACATCCACTCTAGCAGGGTTTCTGCAAAACCCAGGGCAATCTCATTACATTCCCTTCCACAGTAGTACCACATTCACTGTCCCTCCCTCACTCATACCAGTGCCTCTGAGGAATAAACAATTCCCCACAACCAAATCAGGAAATGCACTACACCCATTTGTCAGCTCAGAGAAAGTCAGCACTGTGTTCTGAGACAAAACATAAATAAATAAATAAAGCTTCAGTTTCTGGCAAATAGGTATGCTAGCCATGTTACTGGAAGGTTTTTAAAATTTGAACTGCCACAGACTAGAAGCAATTTTGATTCTACTTGAAGTGCAATAAAATACAGCTGAAAAAAATTATTCATTGTTCATTATTTCTGCTGCAACTTTTCAACAACACTCTATGGCTTTACCTTTTCTGTAACATCATCAGCTTTCTGGATTATTTTTTCCATTATGATCTTACAGGCCTCTTCCACAAATTTCTCTCCTGCTTTTGAATCAGTTATTGGACCATTCAGGATGACTCCATCCACCAAGACAGCATTCTTCTTCTTCTGGAGTACATCCTGTTTGCAAGTACTAGCTGGAAGATAAAAAAAAAAAAACAACAAACCTCTGCATTAGACAAGGCCAGGTCATCCTAAGCTACAAAATATTCTTTCATTGCTGAAGATTCAGTGAACATAAGGAAATAAAATTCACATTGTCTTTTCATGTGTACAAAAATCCTAGATTTTGTTGGAAACTTCTTTACAGACAAATACAACCACTCTGTGTTACTTTAGATCCAGACTGATATTACATAACAGCCAACTGCATGGTATCCACTGTTTTCTATAGCATACGAAAGCATGCAGTGCACTTTCCAACCTCAGAAGAAAACACAAGTATGGTCCTCAGCATGATACAGCTGGATAAACAGAAAGGAAGTGTGAGATAACAGACACTCTTCTCAGCTGAAAATGTTTCTTTCCTATTCTCTTTCTTCCATGATACATTCCCAGCTTCACTCAGTCGTGTTATAGAGTCCTCTGTGTCCTCTGCAAAGTTTCACCGATTCCACCTCCATGAAAATAACACATTAATATCATATATCTGAACTCTCTTTTCCCCCTATCTTAGGTGACTTCAGTCACCTACTTGAGCATTTTTTGCTACATATATTAACTTTTTTATTCAGTTCTCCATTGGTGACCTCTTTCCTTTCCCTCACCGTTATCTGTGACACACTCTCCTGATGAGTTGCATAAGCACAGCACTACTCCCTTTACATTACTTCCAAAAGCACATCCAAAGTGCCTACTAGAGACAGGACATCAGTGACAATCGCGTATCTATTTCATGTATTGATTTCTTACTGCAAGATTAGAATGCCAGTTTTAATCAACATGAGGGTAAAGATGAAAGTGAGACATTAGGAGATACCAAGGGAACAGACATCTGAAAGAGAACAGCACTGAAGGCAGAAGAGGTAACTACTATATCCAAATTACCTGGATTACACATAGCATCAGTACACAAATCTAGCCCTAGAATAGCTACAGTCTATGAGGTCAGGCTGCATTGCCTTGGAGGGTCTTCTTCAGTTGGTGCTACAGTGAAAATATTGGAAGGATAAGAACACATGAAGGAGAAAATCTTATGCTTGAAACAACTTTACCATCTGCAGAAGCAAGGTGGCTTTTTAACAGGTGTACACAAACAGCTGAATTTCCAGAAGACTGCAGGGCAGTCAGGTACATTCACTGTGCCTGTACAGGATTATATAGAACAACAGTGTCTACAAAGGTGGAGGCCTTCAGGGTCCACTGATTGAAAGAAACTCTGTCAATCCCCTAACTCAGAGCAGCTGTTCACTTTCACTTATTAGGACAGGTATTACAAATGAGATCAAATTCCAGCAAGTGATGGAAACTCAGGTTTCCCATAAACAAGACATCAAGCTTCTGCATTTCTGAAATTACTTCTGTTTTTAATCCAAAACAACATTTTCCTGAGCAGAACATTTTGCACATTGTTACAGGAGAGGCAAATGTTCTCATGGGACAGATGCACAGCTAGCATGTAAACAATACTCCATTTTCAACAAGCAAAGAGGGAAAATCCCTTACATCAGAAAGCTAAACTCTCATCAAGCTGCCCAGCACACCACAGCAGGAGCACTAGACAGAAATTGTAGCTTTAAAAAAGCTTTACAGGTTTCTCTCTGAAAAAATAAGCTAGTAGGTTAATTTTGCAAGACCTAAAACACCAGGTATTAACAACAAATGGGAAGGCAACAGGCCTTTTAGTGGATAGAATAGGGACTATTTTTGGATTAAGTGTCAGTTCTTTTCTGTATAAGTGAACCCCTTAAGTACTAACCAGAGCTTAGAACAAACATGGAAAAACTCAACCTTGCCATCTCCTCAAGATCACAGAATTATCTGCATTAGAAAAGACCATCAGATCAACTGCCAACCTGACGTACCAAGTTTTATCACTAAACATGCCCCTTAGTGTCATACACACACGTCTCTTAAATACATCCAGGGTTGGGGACTGCACCAACTTCCCCAGACAGGCTGTTCCAATGCTCGACCACTTCTTTCATGAAGAAATCCTTCCCAGTGTCCAATTTAAATCTTCCTTGGTGCAACTTGAGATAATTTCCTCATGTTCTACCACCTGAGAAAAGAGGCAGACAACCTCTTCAATGCGGCCTTCTTTCAGGTAGCTGTAGATAGCTATGAGGTCTCTGTCTCCTCTTCTCCAGACTAAATAGCCCCAGCTCGCTCCCTCCCTCTCTTCACGTCTCTTGTTTTCTAGTCTCTTCACCAGCTTCATTGTACTCTCTACATACACTCAAACAACTCAGTGTTCTTCCTGCAATGAAGGACCCAGAACTGACCACAGTATTATAGGTGCAGTCTCACCAGCACTGCATAAAAAAGGGCAGTCACCTCCTCTACTCTGCTGGCCACATTATTTCTGATGCAGGCCAGGCTCCCACTGGCCTTCTTGGCCACCCAGGCTTACTGCTAGCTCATGTTCAGATGCTAACATCCCCAGGTCTATATCAATGGCATTTTGTTGCTATGGAAAAGAGGACAAGATCTGAACAAGTATCTGTTGATACTTCTTCTAATTACAGAAATACCCAAAAAATGGTGGAGCAAGAGAATTCTAACTCCTTTTCTTCCTCTGCTGTCTCTGCTAGAACCAAAGCTGTCTAAAAGATTTTGCTGGTAACTCCATCTGCCCTACTTTTGATACTTTCACACAGAGATGCAATACAAGCACTTCTATGACTTTTCACAGAATTTCTTGAAGAGGTCATTGTAAAGAAAGTGCAGAACCTTATGTTACATTTCCTGTCAGGTCTTTAGGGGCTGGGTGATGGGTCTAACAACAGCCTTGTATCTGAAGCAAGTCTACTGACCTTTGCAGACAGTTCTAGAGTCTCCAAAGGACACTTTGTGAAGCCTGAAGAGAAAGAAATTTCTGGAAAATGGGTGCTACCCCAGCCCTACTGTCCACACACCTGCACTGGGCCTCAGGCACAGTCTATGAAAGAAAGGCAAAGCAGAACGGTCAGGAAAAAGGGAGGGAAAAGAGCCTTCATTTCAACAGCAATTTACCTGTATAAATCTCTGCTAAAGAGTTCAGGACTTAACCCACATTATATTCCTTAAATAATGCACCTTGGAGTTATTTAACATTTGCAAACTTTCCATTATTACTTGTGCCATGGTTTTGTGATTTTTGTTCTCGGTATTCCACGTCATAACTTCATGTAGGGCACTGGTAGTTTAACTGTTAATGCTCAAGTTCTGGGCACTGACAACCATGTCATCGACCAAGACAACCTGCCAATTCAATCTGAACTTGCTGAGCTAAATTCTGCCCTGTAACACAGCTTTATGCAATTAATGCAATTATGCAATTAAAATATGAAAGTAATGTCTCCTATTTTATTCTGTTGTCCCATGACATCAGAGAAGGATGGTGGTGGTACAGCAGTAGAGGCTGAACCTTCCCACCAATATTCCACTCCATGTTGTTGTTGTGTGACAGATGGCAGAAGATGAACAGTCTGACAAAATGCTGTCTGACATTAAAGTGCATCTGAAGCAAAGAGGTGGAGCTGAATTCCTCCAGGAGGAAAAAATGGCACCCACTGACATTCATCAATGCTAGTAAACGTTGATGTAGACAAAACAGTGGATGTGGGCACAGTGAAGTGATGAGTGGTGCATTTCAGCAATGGTGACAGTGGGTCACCTCCACTGGTGCAGACTTTCACTGGTGTGGCATGCAGGCTCTTGTTCATTGCCGGCAAAAAATGTACAGCTAATGGTGTTGAAAAACAGAATTTCTAGCTGAGACATTTCTCTATCAAATAGAATTATTGCGTTCTCTGTATCTGTTGTAGTTCCAATGTAAATAAATAGGAGGTATTACTTTCATAGCTACTGATGTAATAGAAAAAACTATTTCTCAATTAACATCTAAAATGAACAAAAACATACTCATATTATGAACTAAAGGATTTCAGGTTTGGAAACAGTCACTGGATATAAATACTGTTCCCACCTCTCACGATTTTTTTTTGATAGTTAATTTTCTACTTACAACTGAACTCTGGAACTTTTATGAGACTCCTAAACTCCACTTAGAGATAAACTTTTCTCCTCTTGGTTGCAGCAAAAGTATTGAGAGGAAAGCCAAGTGGATGATAAAAGGCCAAAATGTTCAAAATAGAAGTTGATGTTAAAATTGCTTTTCGTTTTATGTATTTTTTTAAAAAAGAATCTATAACCAGTTTATTGCTTTGGATGTGTGAACCTTGAGAAAAATTCTTGTTTTAGTTTTCATGTCACAGCTCTCAAATTAAAAGATGTCTTCCCAGAGCACAGCTTAGAAACACCCCCGCTATCTTTACTAGCAAATAATTTATGCTGCGCTTCCATTGAAATAAATACATTTCTAATGCTTAAAATATTTTAGGCCTTTTGCATATCTTTGTCTCAGAAACACCTGACTGCATTAATGTAACCAGCCATCCTTTGTTCCACATGAAGCCCATATGCTCCTCTTTTTTCGGTTTTTTAACAACATGGTATGCAAACAATTTAGAAGCGTAGCAGCAGTAAATACAGTCTTTTTCATTTAAGATTACAGAAACAGACTCCTAAGCAGACTCAGAAGACAGACTCCCAGAAAGCGTATCAAATGCCATTTCTGCCAACTGGCACCAGGCATGAAACAGAACAAAAAAATTAACAAATGAAAATGTCTTAAATCAGAGATTAAGGATTACTGACTGTTCAAGATACTCTCCTGCAGAAGAGAAGACTTGATCCTGCTCCGCTTGAGCGTAATTGGGGATTTATCCCTTGGCTACAGCAGGAGTAGAATCAAACTCATAATTCTGACATTTCATTCTGAATGAAATATTGTATTATAGAAACTTAAGAGTTTCTAACTAACATGTCATTTTTATGATCAATATTATTTTCCCAGCAGAAAACAAATTAATGGCAGCTGAAATAACACAGAGAAAAAAATAAACACTTCTTCAGATGTTGTTCCATCAGTATG